TTTGCAATCAAATTGCCCAGCTCAGCGAACAAGCCAACGACCATACTTACAAGTGTTTTCTCAGGGTTTTGTACGGGGTCAGAAGCTTCCTGAAAGGGACGGATTCACAGACAAGAGCGGCATCGGTCAGTCCTTCCGGGTTATCCCTTAAGAGGTAAATACCAGACTATAAATTGAATAGTGCAATACTTCAGCGTACTGATTTTAACACACTGAAAACTTAACATAACACGGGCATAATTTTCTCTTGAAACACTACTACCACACAGTTTCATCCAGTGACGGAACTCAGGAGGTCGGCATGGATTGAAAGAATATTGTGGACAAATAGTTGCTTGACTTTTACTTCAGCACTTTAGTCTTAGCTTGGAAATGTGTGTTATATTCCACATAGGTAAAGTTTTAAATATTATTTTCAGAGAATACCACCTGAATTAAGAGTGTTAACTACTTTTCTTTTTTAAAGATGGATCCGACATCTACGTCGAAACACCATCATCGCGCAGTCTATACTGACAGAACCTACTCGCATCAGAAGGAAATGAACCAAAACAAACTGATGTCGTCGCAACTTTTGCTCAACTGGATAACCCAACCGCATACATGCTTGCTCTATAATAATAGTGCATGTGTTCATAGCTTCACAGTCACCCGATATGTGCTTATATCCTTTATCAGCAGCTTGTAGCTTGTCATGCTAACCTTCGTCAGCCAATCACGGGTGGTCATCTAAGAGTATTGTATGCTGGGATAGAATGCAGTCATTCCAGCACAGCTTCCGGCTAAAGGTGCGCTTATGAAAAGTGGCCAGGATTACAGGGACGATGCATAGAGTAGTTATTACAATGAAGGTTGATGACGTCCAAAGCTAGCTGGACACCGTCTCATAATGTATTCAGCAGTCCAATGGATTAGCATCAAGTGTGATTCTACTCTGAACCAGTAAATCACGTGACTGTCGCTTCAAATCATCTCTTGAGCAAATAATTCTTAGTGGAGCTTCAGTTTGATCAAACACCTTCATTGATCATTGGCTTCTGTATGTAAATGAATTTGCACTGTTGTTGGGGTATTCCTTCCCTCATACCGGGCCAGAAACTAGTGTCCTACTTTTGAATCTATTTTCACTTCTGCCTTGAATATCATCATTAGTTTAGGTGTCCTGCATACTTCCCATATATTTTGAACAAACAACACAGCGCGGAGAGGACAATCCGAATGGAAGTTCTCAATAAGCCCCGAATCAGTATACACGAAGTTACAAGCAGTACGGACATGGCAGCGTATGCCGGTCGGTGGTCGGTCCAGATAAGATTGATACCCCCATCCTGAAAAGTGACTATAAATTCCTGAGCTGCATCTTGCCTGAATCGCCTTATCTTGCTCCCAGCCATCAGTCAAGTTATTGTGGGCCGAATGAAAAATTCAGACTTTTTACGATTTCACTCAACTGTCTCTTCAGTTAGTTTGGAGGACTGGAATTTTCTATGTTGAGCTTAGCTAACATTTGCAACCAACTGGGGCAAAATGCAAAAACTACTGCTTACTTAAGTAGGGCGAGGTGGCTTAGTAGTTAGAACTTACTGACCGGAAAGTCCGTGGTTCGAACCCGACATCTGCATCGCGACTTCTCCTGTCTAGAGTTGGGCAACCTGGCAGTATCCTAGCCCTCGTACTTCCTTCTGGTGGTATGGCAGCTGGGCACCGAAAGAGGGTTACAGCTGAATGATTATAATACTCTATTATTTTTACTTAGGTATGCGGAGAATGTTACTTTTGACCGCATAACACAGGGGACACTAAAGTGTATCCGATTTTCATCAATCCAAGAGAACTTTCCACATCATTGTTAACTGCTCAGTTCAGCTCATTGTATCCGCCAAAAATCAAACGGTTGCCGGAAAGCTGGGGAGCAGAGGAGGTTCGATTAAGCTTTTGAAGTGAGTGCATAATCAATTAGTCCTGGGTGCATTATTCCACTTATGCGAAGAAGCAGGAAAATGGACAATGAGGCACTGAAGGCGACAGATTTGATGCAACAGATCCCCTGACTTCACTGTGTCTGCCAGTCAGTGACTGTTGATTATCTGAGTCTCTAGGTGCCCATCCAGAGATGCCTTAGTTGTCGACCCCTTTGCCCTAATCGGTTAGTGTTTCCGTACTTCGTTGTCTGGCCATAGACCATCCACTTCTCGATCGATTACACTTAGTTCGGGGCTGAACGAAAGAGGCCTGGAAGAAGGATGCACAGTACATGTCCTGAGCGGAGTAGTCTATGGAGCGTGAGTAGTTCAACAATCTTAAACCACCTGGCCTACCTCACATTGCCACTCGAACTTTTCTAGCATTTCAGGTAATGATTCCGAGGCACTGATGATCATGCATGGTTACAAAGTATTAGGTTCTACCGGATAACTTTCACTCAGCTGGTGTTACTCCTAAACAAGTATTCTCCTTTGCGCACGAATTTGGTTTCTACAGGAGACTCGACTGAATCCGGGTGAATTTCTCATTTATGACAGGTGAAACCAATCGTGGACTGTCGAGGAGTTTTCATTGGCCTTATGAGTAGTGTGTTACATCTAGTCTTGACTCTCGTTTTCCGTTTCCCTCTTTATATATCTTTGGTTATAAAGTTCGAGCAAAAATAAGTCCACAAGGAAAACGGGAAAACCTGAGTGCTAATCAAATTCCTGCATGTTGGCCGCTTTATTGCCCAACGGATTTGTCGTGTTGTACCAGCCGATTCTCTGCTTTCATTCTGCCAGGTGGCAAATTTGCGCTTCAATAACGACTGGGGCTAAAAATATATAAGCAACAAGGCATAGAGCTCTTGGTCTCAAGGTCTGCGGCTATCATCTAACCACTACTTTTCGAATGATGCCATCTAGGCCTGGGCCTTCTGGTAGTTGTTCAGCCTTTATGAGAGTAATGTGTCAACAGGTGAATTGCAATAACGTGCATATGTGGGCAAAATCTCTGGAATGATTTCAACCGAATTCTGGTCATTGTTCCAGAAATCTACGAGTGACCAGCCATTAGAAGGATCAGCTTACAAGTTTACCGAGCATAACACCAGGAAACCTCCTGTCACGGATTTTGAGCCATGCGATCCGGGTCTTGGAACGACCAGTTATCAGATGTTAGGTGTATTTAGCTGTTTCTATTAAATGCTTCATGTGTAGATCGGGAATGGTTGGACGAGTCAGCTTTGACATATGGTATACTTCGAGTAAAAGGTTTTCTTATGGAGAAACTCTATAGACTGCTTCCTTGAACAGTTTCATGTTTATGATTCAGTTGGTCGAAAATGAATCTAGTTTTTTTCAATAAGATGCTTTCTAGCAGAAGTTTTTCCTAGGTGAAGTAGTTGAAATAAACGGCTTGCACCATGTTTTGACTTCACTGTGTATGTTGAAAAACTGCCGGAGTTTACGATATAAAGATTTGTGGGATTCAGAAACCGCCATCGAAACAGTGGGTGTTGAATGCTGGAGACGCGGCATCCTTTCAACAGTCTCGATACTGTTATTCGAACAAGAACTGACACAAATTGGTAGAACAACTGGTGTATTGTCTATCGAAACGGTTAGAAAAAATCAGGTTGTTCAATACACTGTTGGAAGTAGGTACGTTGAATTAGGATCACAGTTGGAAATGTTAATCAGGAAGATAAGTCATTAGTATCTACAGTATAAGTGTTGTGTATATTGCCCATAAATACTCCACAGATCATGTTAAGCCTCTTCTGGTGCAACAAACAGCAGACTTTTTCAATTTACAAGTTGGCGACGTGTTCGCGCGCGTGAGAGACTAGGTCCTGAAACAGAAAAGACGAATACTTAGCGGGCTACGATCACAACTGATGTTCTCGAGAGGCCTCGTGAGAATAACCTGTGGAAATAAGTCTTTACCAGTGTAAATGGATATGTAATTTTGACCGGCAGTTGACAGATATCTGTTGCGCCCACAACTTTCAGTAGAAAACCCACAAGCAGATGGATTAGCAGCAGGTTAGGTATCTATCTGACCTACGATGTTGTTCACATAGAATTAAGAGGTTGGTTCGTCATCGTCAGCAGTAAAGTCCACGCAATTGCTGTGTAGTGGTTAGGGTCTGTGTCCGGTCATTGGTTTATAAAGATTGACGGATGAAGATTAATCTCACAACGACTGTTTGTGGGTCTAACGAGTTGTCATTTATAATTACAGCTTCAGGGTAAAGCAGCTGAGTATGGTTCGTTACCCATACGGCCGAGAAGGGTCAGTGTGTTAGAAATTAGTATCTATTACGTAAAACCGCCTGTCATACGTGGAGTCCAAACAGAAATACACGGAGATTGACAACTCTCGGTTCGAAAGAAACCTTCATTTTGCACTGCAATATATCACTGCTTGCAAAAATCAAAACCCCCACTAGAATAAGTTTATGATGGAAACTAACCCGTCTTTGATAGAACCTAGTCTGCTAACTGTAGCATACGTCCAAAATACCTTAAAGAAATAGGTTTTGTGCACTAGTGCATCGATTTTTGCCCGCTGGCTTTTACGTTTGATTGAGGACAGCAATTCTTGCTACTCTGTGAGGCAGTATCTGCAGTCGGATTCTTGATTAACCGTTCAAGGTTTTAGCAACCAAAATCCTCGGGAGTAGAAGCCTTGAAATTCGAAGCTGATTCTTGAGTGCCAACTTTATCAACATTGATTTCCGGACAATCGTGGCACCCCATTTTCGTCACCAAGATACCGACATTGTTTGTAGATATTACATGAAGATGGGGCTTGAACTGCAATTCCGGTGACAGTGCTTCAGCACAGAAAATTACAACAGAGGAAGCAACAAATGTGGTTGGTGAACATAGTATACCCTGGACCGGAAAGCATGTTTCTGTGACGGACACCTACTCTTATTAACAATATCGACCTGTGAAAGAGGCTTTCCGTACATTTGACCCTATCTGCTTTGAATTTTGCTGACGTTTTTTCTTTTGTATAACTGTTAAGGTATTAACTACAAGGGCTAATCTGTGTCAGAAAAGCAACTTGATACCGTGATCTGGTCTCAGTATATGTTGCCTCACACTAAAAGAAAACAAAATGGAGAATCGGTACAGCACAGCTAGAGGACAAAATCCCTGGAGTTTCAGTATTTTTCCGTTATCTTCTCAGCTTTAGTGCTAAAAATCAGCGGTTCTACAACATGCGTAGGAAAAATAACAATAAAACAGTGAAACGGAGTCAACCATACCGTTGGTTAATTAGGTTTGATTCTTAAGTTCAAGGCAAGCGGATAGCTTGTCTCCATACACATAAGCTGGACCAGCATTGATCAACGGCTATGGCTTTACCGAAAGCCGACTATTTCCGGTTGGCGGTGTGCAGCCAAACTAAGGACTCTAAATGGGATTAACTGTGTCCAGTGAATAGAAAATGTTTGGTGGTCGATGCGGCAAGTTTTCTTGTTTCAGCTTGGTGGCCGTCGGTCGATCAACTAGGTCACCTGACTCAAATAACGAGGCAAATGTCATGAGACGTGTTCGTATAGTCTCATATCTGTTCTGTCAATAATTATTCCACTCCAACCGCATGCAATCTACGTGTAGATAGTAAGATTGGGTACAATACGCGCTGGGAATCGGATATGGACTTGCCTCTTTGATCAGAACAAGATTACTTGGGAAGTGAATATGCACGACAGATGACAGCACGCAATTAATTTCGTTTTATCTTCGTTACCCCGCCTTGTCTCTCTTCTTTTTTTCTCACTCTTACTGAATAGTCAGGCTTTCGCTTGGGTTATGGAGTTTTGTAAATTTTCCGGTGATGCTGCTTGAAATATTTTTAAAGAGCCCTTGTTATTTTCTGGAGAGATCCAGTTGCACAATCATGTTGAGCACTTCTCGCAACAGGTTTATTTAATGAGCTAAAGGAGTAAAACTGGAAAATCGTTGGCATTACGCAGTACAGAAGACGTATCATCTGCACGCCTGACAATAAGGGTGATGGTAAATCTGCTGGGAAGCCGAAAGAGAAACTCTAAGCTTTGTTGTCTATTTACAGGGACCAAATACTACTCGTCAGAGTGACCTGGAATTTGGTGCATGAAAAGTGACTGCCGGAACTTTACCTCAGCACTTTTTGGGCCGTCCAAAGATAAGGGGATGAAGTCACATTCCGGCCATTCACACTGAAATCCAGTTCTATCGAAACAGCTTGGCTTCGCCAGATAGTGGTCACAAACCACATGATGCACTAGATCGTCTGCAGTAGGAAGACCGACTGGGCAGTTGGGCATCTGCATAAAAGAAAGTATGTCGTCAATTGAACATGGAAAACTCAGTTTTGTCCTCCACTAATGGAAGTTTATCGGGAAAGGCATGGCAGAATACAGTGACAAATATATGGTTGAACTCTGATACCCTAACTTCGTGCATGTTCATTTCACTCTATTCGTCAGTGAATGAGAAAGCTTTTCATTGCCTCTGATAGCAGAGACTTAGCTTGAGACGGACATAGACTAACACAATAGCACTACCAAACGTCAGTCATTTTGGCAAGACACCCTTACACACCGGCTAGGGGAGGTCGAACAATGACTTTGTTGTGAAGTATGAAAGTCTTTACCAGGAAACTCAACTGTGCTGGTCATTGCTGTCTCCCGGGAAGGAGGCCCCGAGACGGGACACATCAATAGTTAGAAGCATTTTCAGATATGGTCGGATCCTACCCTCAGTTGCACTCGTGTATCTAAGCTATTGCCTTCAATGCATAGCTCCCCTCCCAGTCTTCCAAATTAAAGGTTCACTAAAAACCCTGTAATAGTGCATTACCGCCTGCAATGCGCAGCCATCTACCCCACCTCCCCACATCATCGGTGAACGAAACCGTGTCAGCTGGAACCACTGCTTGGCAAGCACGTGAGTAATTCTTCAACTATTGTTTCAAATGTTATTGCGCGCTGGTACCATTCATATTGTCTCCAGTTTGAAAAAAAACCAAGGCTAAACGGTTAAGTTCACTAACATCTAGAATAAGTTGGTTGTCTACGCGGCTCAACCACACCCATATACATTGTTAGTGAATACATTCGTGCCAAGTTCTGAGTTTATCCAGTCATTTACCTCTCTGAATAGTCACATGATGCAATTGACAGATGATCCAGGATACCCGAAACGGCTTCAAATGGCTCATATCCCTCAGACTAACGCATGTTCGCTTTTGAACCATTGCTCGCACTAAAATAATGAGTGTACTGCTGAATCAATTGGAGCAGACAACTTTTCTGATTACCTTGGTAGGTGCAACAGGCTGTTGGTAGAAAACCGTTTACTATTTAATAAGGCTTTATTAAGACAAACGAAGCAGGATCCCCCTTTATACCTAAGAAGTTCTATGGGGCGGAGACCACACACGTGTGTCAAGTGTAGTGAGACCAGAATAAATGGTTGTTCCGGAATCTTTAAGCATCAAGGTGGTGCTGGGGAGTTTTTGACAATTTTGAGCACAAGTGGCTTTGATCACATAGTCCAATTAAGATTCCTTTCCTCAGAGCTGAGCTTTACGTCCGTTCTCTCAAACCAAGTTATTTGCTGTTGTAGTATATCTGGAGAATCATTAATCCTCGATGTTATCCGCTGAATAGGCGGTTTACAACAAAACCAGAGCCTTCTACTTTTCGTCCGAACTTCACTGAATATGGATGACTTAAAAGGAGATTCATTGCCACTTAGGAACTAATGAATAGTAATTGTCAGCCATTTCCTTTGCAAAAAATGAAGTGACAAGCCTCGGCGTGTGAAAACGACCCGTACGATCACGTGTGGAATAAAACATATCCCGACATCACCGTGTAAAAAATGGTTGCCAGCGTGCATAAATGGTGCTTTGCGAGATTAGCATTGCGTACAGGTGCCCAACCCGCTAACGAGCCCTACAGCTACACAAGCGGTGTGCGCAAAATCTTACAGTTTCCTGTTCAAATAAGGATGTGTGATAGTTTCTAAGGTAGACATTGTCTTTGGGATAAGACAGCTACATAACGTAGCTAAGGGTTTTATCACGGGGGAGGTTGAACCGACTCACCACCGCTGCGTATAAGGCCTAGCTAAGAATAAAGTTAGTTGAATGAAGCACTTAGCGTATGCCGAGGATCAGACCTTGGGGGACTATATTTGGTCGTACAATCAAGTTCTGGCTGAAAAATGTAAACAACGAAGTTTGAATAACATCTCATTCAAAGGATACGAACCACATAAGGGAGTATGATGTTTTTACCTACAACAATTTCATATAGCAAGCGAACTGGGACTGAAAAAAATAGGTTAGTGTAAATCCCGCTTAAGGAATGCCAGCGGTAAAAGTGAGAATGCTGGATTTTTCAGAGAACCGTGCAGCACAACCGACTGTTCTGATGCGATGCTATTCAGTATATAATTGAGATTCCGAAAGTTCGTTTCCAGGATAATAACAAAAATGGGTTGACGGATATATTTTCGGCAAGGTCACTTTAAGTCACAATTGCAAAAGCCAAGAGAGCAGCATTTAACGTAATTTACTGGGCATGGCGTACATGGCTTAACACTAGGCCCGATGCTAGCCGACATTTTCTTGGGAAAACTTAAGAATAATTCCTTAAAGCTAGCATACGGAAGGCAAAATACGACTGCCGACACGTGGGGGAAAGTTTCACAGTTTTAAGCGATAAAACCGGGACTGAGTCGCTCCAACAAAAGTTCAATAAGGCCCACACCACCATTCAGTTAACCTAGGAAGGAAAAACCGGTAACTTCTATATTCTGGATGCGGCCTCGAACGACGTCACAATGGTACACTGAAACGATCGGTGTATCAAGAGCGTACATGGTCTGAGGAGCACATCAACTTTAACAGCTTCGTGCCACTAAAGCAGATTCACAGCCTAACTAACACAGCGAGAAAAATAATATCTGATGATGCATTGGAACAAGAATTCCTAACTCTCATTCTCATTCTCAGAGACAGCGGGTTTCCCGATAATTTTGTTACAAAGCATAGAGAAACTACCAGCGTCACCGCCACATCATCCTCCCGTTTACAGATATACCGGTCAACCTACTGAACAGAAGACTCTTTATCAGGTTGGAGAAAGTTTTCCCGGCCGCAACACTGCAAATCTGCTTAACAAACATTCGTCTGTGTTGCTTTAGTTTCAAAGTTAGAGTGTCTATCCACGCCCAGAATATGTTAGTCTACTCGTTCTCTTGCTGGTGTTCAGCGGAATACATGGGACGCAGAACTAGGCAACTCTCCAAAGAATGAAGGAACACAATCCACCTGGGCTAGATTCTGTAACTAGGAAGACGATAACCAGCGTACAACATCGCGCAAACATGGCGCACAGCAGCCAAAACTTCCGTATTGTTTACAAGGTGCCTGATAATCAATCCAGATCAGTACAGCGCTGCACAATTGCAGTGGCTGAAACTGTCGCCATACTGCATCGCGACTCCAGCCTTTGTTGGCAAAAACGCTTTGTTCGCTTGTCGTATTTTCTATGGCCCAACTCATTTCCCCTCACATATACATTCTCTGCTGAACACAGCCACAGCACTGCTTGCACTGACAAACTCAGGTCTTCCCATCAGTCACTTGAAATAGTTGTGCCATGACAGGTAGCCAATGTCGAATTCCCATGTACGCCACACTCGCTAAATTATGCTGAATACTTCTCTCTTAGCCTTTGCGACCATATACTTGAGATATGTCCCTTGTGTGTGACCCGACGTGACAGACTAGACGTCAGTTTGGCTGAGTTCGCTGGTCAAGATAAACATAGCCTGTCCACCTTTGGAACAGTTCCATTAAGAAAATCGTGGGAACAAACGGACGCCACGAAGAATGTGGTTTTATGTCCTGCGGAGTACGTGGTCTAGCCTAGGAGATTTGACTAACTCATCCACGGAGGGCGCATTGTCTCTTTCGAAGCCCATCCAACATATCTCAGCTTTTCTATGCTGGTGGTCACACTGAACCCGGAAAATACCCTGATATACCACAGCAACGCAAATGTCGAGCATTCATATGCAAATGGAGTTTCTAACGAGAAAATCTACAAATATGGCGTAACTACTTCCTCGGGAATTGGACTGCGTATAGTCCTTTTAGAAGAGCATTATTGCGAACGGGAAGAAATTAAATAATATATTTCCAATAAACTGGAAACAAACGTAAATACGTTCTTAGGCATCACTCCAACAGCACATACATACCTTGCAGACATGGTAGTTTTTTGGAAAATGGATCACGTGGATTTCACCTTTGTCAGTTCCAACAAGGACCTGAAAACACAAAATAAAGAAATGCAAGCTGAAAACTTGCTCCCTCCTAAAGGGAAAACTTTTAAAATTATCTTACAGTTTACTAAAAAATGGCTTCTCCACCGGCGTCTGTTTCTATATTGGACGATTACGTTTTCAACGTCGTATTCAACACAAACTATAATCACCTTTCATGAAACAGCGTCCTGAGTCTCTGTTGTCATACAGTGGTCAACCTGGGCTGCAACAATAGGCTACCAAACACGAAGGTTCAGTTACTTATGTTCTGTTTCGATCAACACTTAGTAGATTGTTCGCCGATGACAGACAATGACATGTGAAGATGCTACGATCAGCAGTTAGCATACGACGGACCACGCCAAAGAAGTGTGGTCAAGAAAGTAAGCTGAGGCTCGACATTTATCTACTGGTGACAGAATGTTGCGACTTTTGAGCCCACACTTTAACAGAAAACTGCCAGGTCTTCGTTGGTTTGTGCCTTTAAGCTAAGTTGTTCAAAAGAACTGCAGTACCGTAATCGAAAAAAGGGCTTTTGCTCTATTTTGTGAATAGTGTTTGGAATAATGTTCTTTACTGGATTACAAAATAACTTTTTCGGAAACAAAAGCATGGGATGTCCGTAGTGATGGGAGATGGTCTTATCAGGAATAGATAATTCAGCTGGAAACAATGGGGTTTCTCCTGTGGAGAATCCTCCCCAACAGAGTGCTATTTAAAAGGAATACCGTCGTATTATCTCCCGAAGAGAGCCTATACTGTAGGAGAGGCCGAACATTCGCCCCTCCAATTTGTGGATTACGGTGCATTTGAAACCCACTCAGATTCAGTGGCTGACAAGTGATTTACATTTCTTCACCACTTTGAAGTTGCTCACATGGCTCTGCTAAACATGCGGTTGCTAACTTCAAATTAAACTCACAATTTCTTTTTCGTTCAGTGTGGACGTTACGGTGGTTATTTTTGAATCTGAAGGGACTGCATAGAGCATGATCAAACAGTTGCGTCCCTGTGCGTCGCGACGCCTCTGACTTTCGAATGCGGAAATCTCAAGAAGTCTTCCTGTGCTCGCAGCGGTCCACAGACGTTCACTTTGGGGTGATTGCGTAGCACAGCCCGAAAACGTTTGTGGCCACACGGGTGCAAGCAGACTGGCGGGTTGAGCACAGAGCGGCAGTTTCAAAGTAGACATGAGGTCAAGCGACTTTCACAAAATCCAGGCGAGTAGCGAGATGGAACGTAGTAACGGAAATATAAACAATGAAGTTGGATGAAAATTATATGGATGGAATGCTAACACATTAGTCATTATGGAGATGAGACAAAGGAGTTTAATGTTTTACTAAGCACCAAATAAGCAACACACAGCAAACAGAACTCAGTGAGCACATTACACCTCTTATTTGCTTACGGTTTTATATGAGACAGTAAGCTCGTTAATTTGTCTTAGATTTTGATATATGCCCTTGAGTGTTAGAAGAGATGGTTACTTACATTCATACCAGCGGGTGACTTTTGCAGATTACTCTTTTGTTTCTGTGATGATAACCTATGCGAAAGGGCTGGCCCGGGCTACTCAATGTGCACTTGATTATATAATTTACAGCGACCTGAACTAAGCTCAAGTAAGTTGCGGAGAACAACCCGTAAAAACTGCAAGCAGACAACCATGCTGCTCACAACGACGTCACAGAACACACTTAACAAACTTCGCAGCTGATTCATTAAACTTACATAAAGCAGCCATGCAAAGTATACATTTTCAAGACGAAAGAGGATGATAAAATTTGGAGACTGCAAAGTGTAAACGACATGAGAAATTCCACCGAGCGAGAGATGAAGTTACGTTATCCTAGAATGCTGCGAATATATTGAAAACCATCTAGAAATATAAAAGTTTGGCAGGAACGTCTAATATACGAACCCTAATGCCAGTGAGTTCGGGCTTGCCAGGGTTTATGTGACCGGCCCAACAATAAGGATGGATAATCCGGTAACATAAGTTTACTTTGACATTTTCAGAATGCTCGTGTAGTGTTGATCGGGATGGCATCTTATGGGATACCTTATCCATGGTTTGAGAGGAATACATTTGTTTCCTGCAGAGACGTTGCAAGATATATCACAACTGGCTTGCTCCTTGAAGTTTCTATTGAAACATTTTCATTTTCTTATTTCATAGGTGCTCTCAAAAAGGTAACTATATAATGCGGTAAATTTACCTTCAGATTGAACCAGTAAACCTGAGTTGTTAAACAGACGCAGATACTTGAGGAGCCAGCGATTTCCGCATAGGTGATCCCGACCAATTCGCAAGCGATGTTCAAGTTGAGTATTTTAGTCACTTTATCGCAGGCTGCTAGCTTCTGTCCTCTGGGCTCCCAGGAGCATATCCTCAAATTTACTGCTTCAGGGTCTTCATGTTTCAGTAAAGTTGCTGCAACAAGACAAAAGTTGGTGGGCTGCAGACGTTTTGAGGAGCTGGTGTTAGTTGGGCTTTCCCCAGATTCAGAGATGGGCCTCCCATTAGATGATTTTGTTTGGTGTGGACAGATGCAGCAGATAAATGGAAGTACCCGCTTGTCTTCAGTGAGCTGATAGGCATGGGAACAGATAAGCAGAGACTTGGATCAGTATACGTTAGGAAAAAAAATACATGGGGTTGTAATTAGAGTGGGGAGTCCATACCGAACTTGCATCTACCAATCTAAAGCGGCCGAGATTACAAGCAGAATTATCGTCGAAATAAACTTGCACCAAGAAACAGTGCCCATGTGTTGCTTTTTGGGTTACTCAGGACTAATGAGGCGCATATTGTAGGTTTGCGTCTCTGCAATGTTTCTTTATCATATGCCTAGTATATTGTGTACCTTAATCATTTTGTGGTGAATCAAGCTAACCTGGACATACGCCTCTCTAAGAGATACGTCGTAAACATATTACCCATGTTTACCCATTGTATAAACTTAGACTATCCCTATACAAAACTAGGCTAACCCCATTGAATTGAAGTCCAGATATACTGTAGGACAACATGCATCTCATGAAACCTCAGGAGTTTTCGACAGAAAACTCAAATTTTTAATCTTTCAACTGGTATCTCAGCTAAATGATAAAATACAAACGACCTGCTTAGTCAAGGAAATTTGATAACAGGCGTCGAATTTGCCACCGCTACGTATCGATCAGGATTAAAGTACTCACCGTTGACTCCGATCCGATGATTCCTAGCCAAGATAGGTAACGCAATCTCTAGGTCGACGCTGAGATGAGTGGGTGGATTGTTCTTAATTAAGTCTACTCACTATGGTTACTATACCAAAGAGGTCAACTTTGGAGCTAAGCAAGCTGATGAGCCTCAAAAAGGGTGAAACTGGTCGTTGGCTGTCGGAGAGTTTCAGCATCTTTGTGAGTATTTTCCCTTATGAAAATGTACTGCGATATCTCGAATAGCAGACCAACTGGAACATAGGGCGGTCTTTGTGCAGCACATTCCTTTGAAGAATAGCAAAACGAGAGATTCAGTTGAGTCTTCCATGAAAACCAAATTGGCTTGCAAATGTGCATACTTGTCGAAGTCAGTCCAAGTTGGAAGAGGTTTTACGTGAACGTTACACATACCCATGATTAACAACAGAACGTATCCTCTTTATGGCACCATGAAACTGTGGACTTAGTGATTGTTCGGCGGTTATTTGTCTAAACCCTTCAGGATTCAGGCTAGTGTTTCACGCCCTAGAAGCAATGCACGGGGCATTTGTTCACCACCAATCCTCAAAGACGTATGTAGGTGTATCAGGCCACAACAGCTGGCGTGAGCTAGGACCGTTGTTTTCAGCATCCTGGATGATGCATTTTCAGACTGTCCAGACATTCAGTTACATATGTGTCTTTGAACTGCACATCTCGATTGCACCTTCAGTGGCGCAATAACAAAACAGGATCCCACTAGTCCTTAACCGCTTTCACAAGTAAACAAAAGTAAGCATCGAAACCGTAAGGGCACTCTCGAGTCTTACGCTCGCACCGTAATATCCAAGCATGTAAAGAACGGAAAGTGGGACCACAGGTCGATCAGGACTGCTCACAAGGGAAATGACAAGAGCTGCCGCAAGTAAGAAATGGATAAATATATACATACATACATAAACATCTGCATATAAGTATTTTTGGAGTTGTAAACAGTTTGGCTGAGATGTACCCAGAAGTGTCGATAAGTGTAAAACTTTGAGAGTGCAGTACTAGTCAATAGGCAGAACGATGACGAGCTAAATATCGTTCAACCATACTCACATGGTGGTATATATTGGCGCCCAGATCATGGAGTTCACCTTCCCAGTGTGGATGTCGGACGTTTGTGTGGTCTGTTGTGTAGACACTGAACCTCCACTGACAACAGAAAATAGCTCCGTTACAGCCGATCAGGAGAATATTTTGTGCAAGACAGTTGTGAAGTATTTTTGTATGAGGGAGAAGCATTGCTTGTGCAATTTTTTGATTGCTGGCCAGGCGACCGGATACCCGACGGCTCTGTGGAACAGTGGAACAATATGGGTGAGTTTTTTTACAAGCTTGCCGTGACAGGCTAGAAAATTACCATGTTTGATTGCAATAATAAAACTGTTATCAATCCGTTGGTTTGCACGCAAATCAACCATTGCTCCGTTTCCCAAAAGCTCGATATCATTCGGTCAGTATTCTTCATCAACATTTCTGAAGCATGAAGTTTTTATCTACTGTCAAAACTGTTTGAGACATGTATGCACAATAGGGGAAATACGAGTGACCGGGGGGATTTCAGTGGCATGACTAAGAGGCACATCTATCAAATGCAACGGTCCCTCCCCAAAGAGGACCACCGAATGAGACAGCCTGCGGAAGCTCTTGTATCGTGACAGTACATCCCGATATTGTGAGCCTTGATATTCTTGTCTAGTAGGAGTCAAACTTTTTCTCATATCCTCGCATTTCCGGCTACAGGCAACAGTCAGTTTCGGGGATTATTGTCACATGCACCAATCATATATGGAAATAGGTCCAATGCAGTATAAATGTGAGTAGCTGCCTATTACTGGGACCAGCCATAAGTCAATTAAATACCAGTCATAAGAAATGATATCCATGCTCGAAACTGTCTAAATTTGTAAGTTAGTTGTTGATCAAATGGCTGTTGGTCTGCTCACCGAGCTTGGGAGGTGAATTGTAAACGTTTCGTCGCCATACCAGGAGACAACATCTGTTCGCAGTTTATGCGTACATCCTCTGCTTGCGTGCGTTTTTAATGCATTTGAAGAGTACTTGTTACTGTTGGTTAGCTAGGTGACTGCGTTCTTCGTGAATTTATTAGTCTGTTTGTGATCTTCATTGCGTGGTGATCTACTTTCCTCTGAGTCGACTAGTTATCTCAGTGCCTTCGATTTTTGGTAGTTTCTTCCCTGGTTTTTATTGTCCCCTTCTCGATTTGCATCAGTTGTGCTCTATATAATCTCACTGAGATTGATTGATTAGTTGCATCGCCCTATTTTCCCCATTGTAACAACCGGTGTCCTGGCGTCCGCCAGTTAATTCGGTAGTTTGGTTTACTGGCTATGTGCCTCCGCCAATCAAACTGACGTGTCCGTTTGGATCAAGCTTTCCTTTTTCTATTATGAGTTCCTCGTCTGATTACTTTTGCAGCTCGAGGCTCCAGGGTCCTGGCAATTTATTGCTCTTGATGGTTGACAAATAGGATCCATTTTGATAAATTTGTCGATAGCTTCTTCGGTGGAGTACCATACATCCATAAATTTACGTTTTGCTTCGCTCTTTCTTGAGCCAGTATGCGGACGCTACCCCAGTCAACCGCGTGTCCTTCTTGCTGAGAGCAAACTGATTGTCTTTTGGCAGCGAGCTTGTGTTCATGTTTTTTGTGGAGAGTTTCCTCCCCACTTGTCCTGTATCTCGTTTGTCGTAGTGCTTGCATTGGATCCTGTATGTTACATTGTCCGTCACCATTGGATCAACTTATCCTTTTGGTTTCGATAGTGTCCTCCGCAAAGTGTTCTCAGGTTCGTAAGCGACCATCGTATTGTGTTCGTAAGAACCATGCCGTCATTTTAGCAATGTTCTTTGTGTATGAGGGCGTGACTCATTTGCCTCCATTCTGTGCTGTTATATTAGTCGTCCTTGGCTTCTTGAATGATCTGCAGATAAAATTCCTTTTGTATGCATTTCTTTGATACAATTTCTATAAGAGTTTTTCTTCCTTATTTATAGATTCTGTGGTGCTGTACTGTGTCTTGGTCCGCTTGAAAAGTGTCCGAATGCAGCTTTGTTCGTAATCATTCGGATGGTTGCTGTGTTGACTTAAAATTTGGTCCACATGCGTCGTCTTTATGTAGGTGTAAGTTCAGCAATCTAGTGATGAGGATGCGCAAAATATCAGTTTTCCGTTGTCCTCAAATTCAATTTGTCATAGTACTTCGAAAGACTAAGTCGCTATTTCTGAAAATGATACAGTTGGTCGGAGGGGCGTTGTTTCTTTATTTACCTTTGGAAGTTCGTAGAAGCGGGGACCGACAGAATCACGATATTGCATCCTCTAATATTCCTGTTTCGTAATCTTGTGCAGGTCTCGGAGTTTCTTCAATTCTATTTGATTTTGTTTGTTTGGTCACGTTGTAAGCGGTGATAAATAGTTGCGTTTCTGAGTAAGGCCTTCGCTTTATTGATGTAATCCGGTTTGTCCATGATTACTTTTAGGCGCCCTTGTATGCTGGTAGAATCACCATGTTTTCATCCTTCTTCAACTTACTCATTACTTTTTTTCTTTGCTGAAAAACACATCAACTGGCTTATTGGGTGTAACGGCCGGAATGCTGGTTTGACAAATTTGTTGGTGAGCGTTCTCTTCGAGTCCGACAGAATTCATCGTCGATTCTAGGCTGGTTCACTACTCTAGGTTTGTCACGTATTGGACGTTGAAGTAAAGCCTCTGATGAGAACATTTTCGTCAGCTTCTTGATAGATTCCTTAAACAGGCTTCGTTGCGATCGCTTTGTACTCCTGCTTCCTAACCATCCTAGATAATTTGCTTTCTAGATAACCTTTCTTGTTTTTAGAAGTGGAGTTAGCTCTGCGTCCTGATGCCATGCTGAGTTGCCTCACGATGTCTGATCCTATTGTCCCAAAGCAGGCCTCCCAGTGCTCACTGGCTATTCTTTCGTATCTTCTAATGCGGTCGTGAGCGTCTGTTATCATGAGTCTGACCATCCATCGAACATTCTATCTGGCTGTTATCGAAGCATGTGGATGGTTTATTGGCGGTTGACAGGTTACGATACGTGGCAGTACACATTTCCGCAGGCATTCATGAAGGAATTGGAGATGTTATGGTGTGGAGGCTCGGTGGTAGGCAAAGTTCTCCAATGAGTGAGCTGTTTTGAGCGTGGAATGCCCGATATTTTTGGTAATATGTTGAAATGTTGGTGGTTTGGGTGAATTTATTGGTGGTTGATCAGGTGGCTGTTGATCTGTTCGACAAGGTTGGGAAACGTTTCACCACCATACGAGGAGACATTTTCGGCGCGCAATTGATAATATGCAATCAACAACAAAACGGAAGACGATGGGATCGAGTTTCGCGCCTAAATCAGCTGACTGGTTGTGCGTGTCATTTGTTGCGCCACTGACAAACTGGACCGAAGAAATGCACTTTGCCGAGCAGATGAGGGCGTAAGTAACTTGTTTTTTGATATATTAAGATAGTAGAACCAGAAAGGCGAGAGAACGATTTGGGAGAAATGGCTAAGTTAATAAGAGATAATTCCTAAATAAACTTTTTGGACTGAGTCCAAGTGAACCATCGTTGATAATACTGTACTTCTGGCGGGTTTTGAAGTTTCCGACAGCTTCGCAACCGGACATTTGTTTGTCCCCTAAGTATTGCCGTCACGCGGTGTTTGGGTTCAAAGTCGTGTTGCAATTATTTCTCTACCGAAAAGCGATGCTAATTTTCAACCATATGGGCCTGAGAAGAGAGTACAATTTCTTACTGTTTTCTCATGCGTTTCTTTCTCGCTTACAAAGCAACCAAGTGATAAAACCGATATAGTATTTGAAACACTGACTAGTCAGTTCACTATAAATGTGCACCACGATGTAAAGTTATGCTTAACGAGTGCATCACATCAGCCAGATACTCACTTTGACAAACTTACCGCTATATTATAAAGTGTCATATGGCCATCAACTTGAACTACACAAAGCAAACCGGAAACTGCTTTGGAGTTGTTCGTCAGTGACCTATCTGTGGAGGTCTTGTTTATGTTGCTCGTAGCCACAAAAGACAGAAGAGCAACGACTGGCGTCCGCGAAAATTGCTCATGATCTCGACAATTGAGCAGCTGGCAACGTGTCTATGTGCAAGATGGGACAGAATAATAATAGTCCACAACGATTAGATTTCATTGCTCATAAAGACATGTATGTAACGATTAAAACTAACGCAAACAGCCATCAAAGCTGGCATTGATGATAGTGCTGGCATTGTTGCTTTTCTGTTTTACAAAAGTGGGTTTCGTTATGCAAACGTTTTGATTTGAAGTAGAAAGAGAAAAGGGGGATAAATAGTCTGTCCTCGTCTACATCCAGACTCGTGCGGTGAAAACTGGTAATACGAAAGATATTAGTATTGTCTTGTACTCTAGCTGCTTAGGTGGAAGGTCCTATATATTCCTGGGAGAAAGGATGGATTGAGCAACTGGTGAGAGTCAGTCACTCACAAGTAGTCAGACCAACTGAACAGGGCGATCTTACCTTAGCCTAGTTGGTAAATCGGGTAGGCGAAGTCCCCGAATTCCCATCAACTTTGGGTTCTACTTGAGCCAAAATTGTACAAAATTCGCGAAATGCACTCATTTGCACGATGATTTGGTTTTCAATTAATTTCATCCAAATGCCCCTTTATGAAGCTCCTTAAATGAAAGCACCGCAAGAAGTTTGCCTCAAGTTTTATTTGGTACGATATTCAAGATATTCAAGTCATGAACATATCTTTCTCGGTCTTCATGGCGTGAAAAACTGATTCGGACAAAACAGAGTGAAAGTTCACCAAATTATTCTGATAATGTTCCCAAAGGTTATCTACTACGGGATGTTTGTCCACGGTAGTCCCTGAGTTGGTTGCCTTAAAGGGACGACTCCAACTAGTTTCTAACCTTCGCCAGTGCAGTGATTGACGAAGTGCAAATGGTGCATTAAAGCAAACTAGGAGACGTAAAGGCGGATTCAGGGGGCTGTTGAAAGCAGATTTCTTGACTGTAGTGCAGCTGTGACATTTTTATTAAATCATCCTGTGATTTTCTAATCTATGAACAGCAAAGCTCTTCAAAATAAACATAGTAGCTCAATGTGGTACAAATTGGAAGATCTCTGAGATACTGTTCAAATAATAAGAACTAATGGAAGAAATTCAAAATGCTGCAGTCGCCAGATTCTGCATTCGGAACTGTTGTTTGTGGCAGTCAGTAGAACTGCATCGATTTGGTTCTTGAATAAACGTAAGAACGTACATCTCAGGCTTGGGAAAAGACGTTGCGGATTAAGATGAAGAGACTTCAATATCAGTAATAATTGCTGCTTAACTTTGATAGGTGCTCAGCATTCACCCTTTTCTGTTGCATGACCATCCAAGTGGGGTTAATGCTGTAAAGCCAATGAAATGGTACCCTGTTTCTACAGACTATTTCGTGACAAATTGAGATGACACAAGATTATTGGATCAGTCCAAGTGGGCCCATCAGGATGCTCTACACCCTCCTGATAAGTTCCAAACACGATGAAAATGCTGGGTGGCTGAGCTCTTTAAGGTTCCAGCACATCTTTGTTAGAATTGCAAAAGCCCCCAGCAAAACTACACTCTAAGAATAGCTCAATGATCTACTGGACAGTTATGCGTTGCATTTAATCGATAATAGTTCATTTTTCAGGTAAGAAACTTCATCATAGGAAGGACCGATCCGATTGGGACTAAGAGGTGGTCCTCATACCAGGGATCCCGCAAAGAACAATATGTACGTATGACTTTGTCTTCGTCAAATGTAAAGTGCCCAGGATTCAGTTGAGCGAACAACATGAAGTGAATACGGAAATAGGATTAGTTCAGATTGACAGCTACTGTAGGCATAAATACATCCAGCACACATCGGAAAAGAACCAAACAGATGGGTAGGATGTACGTTACCAGTGAGTAAAAGACATCATGTGCTTAACAGCCGAAGATTGGACGCCGTAGGTCTTATGAGGAATTGGAACTGCTAAACAGAACAGCTTTCAACCTGAGAAAACCAAGTCCTCTGTTAATGGGGGCATCTTGTCTCTTGATAGGGAGATCAGATTGAGTACCTTTATCCTCTTACCCATGTACTTTATTTTGAAAGGTGTAAGTGATGTATGTGTCCTGTGGAATTCAGTAAACTGAGTACACTACTAATCCAAGCCAAGTGATGCCGTAGAGACCTTAAAAATCTGCACTTGTGAATCACCAGTTCCGTCTGTTACCTTCACGGTGTTGGTGGTTATCAGCCATTGGATTAAGCAGTTCAACATTCACCTTGGTTTCATATCATGGTTTAGACAAACGACTCAAAACTGTATGAGTAGATTTCACAATTTTCATATGGGTTACAACAGAAAACTATGCAACAGCATCAGTTTGGATTCTGATTTCAGTTAACAAATGCATATATTCCTCCGAAACGAGTCGCCTTCAAAGTGGAAGATCTAAGTCAAATAAGTGTAAGGTAAAAATGAACGCTGTCCGAAACTGTCGCTAAACGGTAAAAATGAAAAAGAAATCGAGTGAAACATCAGTTTTCACAATGGTGGTTGAGGAAAAAACTACAATGCCGGTATGTACTACTTCATGTGATATGCAGATATGAGATACAAACTCGATAATATACTGTTAGCAGTAGACCACAAAACTCAATCGTTTTAATTTTTGTCAAGTAAGGATGCATGTGAGAAATTTACGAGATCCTCCACCTAAAGTTGAAGTAAAATTATTTGCAGAGTGCTGGGAAAATGCTTCACTCGTTGGTCCTGAAAAGTTGGAAACGGCCGAATTGCTGTGGGGAACGGTGGAAGAGAAAGTGTAGTCAGTGTTGGTGTTATAATTGGTACTATTTGGGGCTGTTGGGGGGAGGGTCTGTTGAATAATGGAGCACCAAGCGTGCAGCCAATGATGTCAAAGTGCCTAATATCAGCTGGGATTAGGGAACCGTTTCCGAAAAAGGTAGCTAGCTGGACCGATGGCAAAGCAAACCATTTAGGGTCAGTTTTGCTTCAAATGAATTTCGCGCTCTGGTGAAATACACAGTTGAAGTTCGAGTTCCTACCCGGAGTCAGTGGATCGTGGCTTGTGGTTTTTGGGAGCTTTGATGAATTATGATTGGTAGATCACAGCAAACAAAACGTGCATTCTCAGGGATCTTTGGCATAACATTATGTTCATGTAATTAAGAGGAAGAAATCAAAACACTTTCGGAGGGTAGTGACCACGTGCATGTTTCGAAGAGTCTATATGGCTGTGCACATGTTCAAGGAAGCCACTCTATCGCGAAGGACTAATCACTAATCACACCGCAAAATATGGCAACACAAACCTCTCGAAATAACTGACTGTCATTCTCTCATATCTTGAACCAAGCGAGCGGGGAAGCTTCTTTGAGTCAGAAGTTCAGGAGTTTAGCTTTGCTGCACTTGTGGTGAATCGGCATCCGCAAAATGAATCAATCAAATGCCTAAATTCACAAAGTGTATTTTGAAGTCCGCTGCTGACGAAGCTGGACAGACTTAGATTATCTATGGCGACTAATAACTGATCCGTGCCACCTACATTTTGGAGACCTAATTACATCTCTCGTGGCAGACCGCTAACAAAAGATCCATTATCGTGTCTTTACTCTAGAGGGTCCCAAATGTGACTACGGCTGTTTTGAAAGGCCGACATGAACTCTCTAGGACAAATGAGCATTTTCATAGGAGAACTCATTTCTTGTACTTATCACTGGGCAAAGTTTAAGATCAAGTACTCCCAAGTTTCATCAGGGCTTCTGGCTGACCAAGTAGAAGGTATCGCTAAATGTGAACTCATTAAACCATATCATTCCATGAGGAACTCAAAATCTCGAAAATTGCGGACAGTTCACATTTAAATGTAAATCATTAAACCAAAAAAATCCATGAGGAACTCAAAATCTCGAAAATTGCGGACAGTTCACATTCAGAAGCCACTCACTTTGAGGTCGTAGATAGAAACCGATAAATCTCCGCTACAAATGGCGATCCAAATAGGCGAGATTGGAGAGTCAATCTCCTCCGATCTATACAAACCCGACGATTTCGGCTCCAGCTGGAAGCCATCAATGGGCCCCAAACACATAATTTTCACTTCTTCCTGCTTACCGAGCGTTTGCTTCCCGACTCGAATCGTTTCGCTTGCTGAGCTGATATTACTGAATTCTACCGGCATGACGGGCATATTCGTCCTCGGAGCTGTACTCGAGGTGGCCATCATGACCACGGGTGAATGGGGACTCTCTTCTGTCTTACTCAGGCTTTGCGTAGATATAGGGTTTGAATCGGTTTTCTCAGACAACTCCTGATCATTCCGTCCAAGTTCCGACGCATTAGCCTTGGGTTCTTTGGTGATTTTCACATCCGCTCGACTTTGTGACTCAGGTGGTCTGCTTGGAAGAAACGAAGGAAGGGAACCACTGGAAAGTGTGTTAATTGCGGATCACTTAAAAGCTACCCATAAAATGGTTCAGACAGGTACGAATGAATCAACAGAGTTGTTCACATCAAGCGAACTGAAAGTCCTTATTCTTTAAGTGCAAGATATGTTATCATTCATCATCAGGTTGTGTTATGATGAAAATATCGAACAGTCTCCCTCAAAAATTATGGAATGATGGTCCTCCGATAGTTGCCAAGATATTTTTGACTTTTCATAAAGGAAACTACTCACAAGGTAGGCGCAGTCCCCGAGTTTCCGTCAACCTTATGATCTACTTGAACCCAAATTGCACTGTTCCCGAGAAATACACCACTCATTTGCAAATCTATTTGGTTTTCACGAAAGACTCAACTGAATCTCTCGTTTATGATATTCTACAACTGAAAGTGCTGCGCACAGGCCGCCTCATGATTCAGTTGGCACGATATTCGAGGTATCACAGTATATTTCCATATTTTCGACTTATTGATAATTGTGATGTGGTGAGAGAGGACAATATGAATCAAATCTTAGACTGTCATAACTACCCACTTTAATTGCACACAAAATTTGTTTAAAAAAGACCTCTTATAAATGCGCTTCCACCGATCAACCAATGACCCAAGTGATAGATCCTCACTTTTCTTATCCAGGCATGTATATAGCACTATTAGCAGTAAAGATTTTCAACAGTCTGTGAGTAAGTGTTTGTAAGAATGGAGCACAGCTAATTGTCACGTTGCTGAGTGACTGTACCTATTTTCGATCTGTGGGTGGCTGAACCTGAATTGCTGTATTTTGTTTCATGTATATATATATATATATATATATATATATATATATA